CCCCCCCCCCCCCCCCCACAATGGCCACGTATCATCTACGGAGCATCTACCATGCTTGATAATGTTAAACTGGTGACTGACACACCCACAGATGTTCGAAAGCACCAAACTTTGAGTGAGGACGCTGCCAATCCCTAAAGCATAGTCAAGCCCAACCCTAAGATACCCTAAGCTCCTGAAGCCTGGCACAGCATTGCAATCAAGTGAACCCGAACTCATGCTTCTGCGCCCCAGGCATCTACCCCGACTATCCACTCCAAAACCGCTGGCTCCTTCGGATTTTACGCTTGCACCTCTGCATCCGCCACTCTGTATCGCCCAAACCCTAAACCGCTGAATGCTGAGGAGTACGCTCTTTCGGCCTCTCTGGACACGACACGGTAAACGGCCGCTGTGTCAGGTCCTGCCAGCACGCGAAGCTGTAAGGGTCTAAATAGGTAAGGCTCAGAGATAAGAGTTCTTTTCTTTTTTTGGGGGGGGACCTCTTTTCCGCCTGCCTATCCAGTTAGAACGTCGAAAAGGCTGAGGTAGGAAGAACGAGACTGAGGGACCAGCATCACACAATTCAAGGTTCTGTATTTTGGGCCAGGGGCTTGGGGTTTTGTCTGGGTTCATCAACAACCCACGCCCCCAAAGCAAGGATCTAGACGCGCCGCAGTGGAGATTTTTCCGTATCCCTTGCCTTTCCATCTCTCGGGATGCCTCTGCCGTACACCATACCACCATGCCAAGAAAGGAAGCAAAAAGTACAGAGAAGTCAGAGGCAACCTCAAAGCTGAGCCTGCAGTGCCGCCAAATACTTTTCGCGGTTCTCCAGCATCAAGGACGTCATAGGATCCTCGCAAGTTGGTTAAGGTTAAGGCTCATGTTTGCGGGCTTTTTGCTACACCTGCCGGGCTCCAAACCCCCTCATCTCTCACACTCTCATCGGCCGGCATGTGTGACATCCCGACAAGTGGGTGTTCGAGTTGAGACACAGTGTCCTCAAACAAGGACATACTGACTTCCTGTATGCAGGCCGGACATGGTAGGATCTGCGTACAACGGCCCAACTCAAAACGGAAAGCCGGCATGGCAAGGGTTTCGCGAAGGCATTTCATTAGGGCGGTCAGACAATAGGCTTCGGATATGCTACACCTAGACCACAAACTGCAAGTCCTCCTTCTCCCAGCCACCCAGCACCTGGGTCAGCACCTGGAAATTGAAAGCTTTGGTGCAGAGTCGACGGCTGCTATACCGCGTCACCAAGAAGTTGGGGTGTGAAGACGGTGCATGTTGCCCCGGGGCTCGCCACTTATTACCCTTGACAAACAGCCTCCTCGAAGGAGGCAGAGCACATGGGCGGGGAATTGCCGGACCAATCATGTGGTGCCAAATATGCGGGACAAGGTAAGTCAAGAAACAGAAGAAGTATGACTTTCAACTGGCGTGCTCATCAAATGTGATAGCCCTACAATGCCCTACATATACACAACCTGGTGTCTGGAGTTGAAACGGGGTCTCCTATAAAAGCAACACTAAGTGCCGTCTGGTTACACATCTACAGGGATCCGAAAGTTTGAGATAATTGCATGCTCGAATCAGATACCACATTTCACACGTTGGGTTGGAGTTGCCTGTTACGTACGTGCCAAGAAAATACAAACGACGCACCGAATGCGACATACATTGTAGAATGTATCACATGATTGCAGGATGTTGCTTGGCCGTAAACATCAGCCCAAAGAGTCGCATCGAGCTGCTTGGAGACTTCCTTCTGATTCGTCACGGGCAATAGGTTACGGCAACATCGGGAAGCAGAAAAGAGACGCTGCGAATTGTACAAACCGACGTGCTAAAGCATGCGAATCAGTGTTGAGGCATGCAGCTGACGGTTCGGAGTGAACTGGTCCCCGTCCCTCTCTCTATATCTTGCTTGCTTGATTGATGCGATGTAGGCATCGATATGCCGGTCCGAACATGTGCAGGTGTCTCCTCCAGACTGGCTCCCCTGCCCTTCGACAAGCCAGCAGGGTGGGTAAATGAGTAGAACTCCCGAACAGTTCCGCTGAAGCGCATGAAAGTATGTACTGCAAAAACAACACCCCCCGGCAATCATCTGGAAGCAGTTATGTTTCTTCGTCTCTCCCTCTCCCTCCCTCTTCCTCGCCCTGTCCCTCAGTCAACCCCCTAAGCTAAACCCGACGAGCGATAAAGCGGACTGCTTCTACACCTGGAAGACCAAAAGTCATACCCTGTCATACCCTGCTTCAAGCTCGCCCCCTTCTTCCAGCCTCTTTCACCTCCTCGCGCCCCCCAGGAAGCTGGGCAGCGCGGACTTTCTTGCGGATGTGCCTGGCGCCAGGCTCCGAAAGCATCCCACAAGGAACCCTGAGGGTGTAGTTTTGGGGATCTAGAGGGATTTAGGATTAAGGTTCAGGCTTTGTCTACCAGCATGACATTTTGACTTGGGGCCGTTCTAGCAAGCAAATTGAGGCTTCTGAGGTTCTCTAGGGCGGTCGCGACTTGTTTTTTTAATCCGGCAAGCACGCATCCCGCTGAAATGGAATCTGCTAGCTGCTGGCACCGTTGTAGATAGCATCGTAAATTCAAGCCGAGCTTTCTTCCGAGGGGCCGCTCACGGGAGTGACATTCCCCATGCCTTATCTCCCATGCCCTGACTTCAGAAATCCAAAAAAAAGCTAGGTGCAACAGATCCTGCAGGTAACCTAACACCAGGCGGTTGGGCTTCAGCCACTCCTGAAGCTCGCGATGGTCCTGTGCCTTCGGAAAGATGGCTGATGAGCGGAGATTTTGGATGCGCCTTTCAACCTTGCTACCGATAACTATGCTTATAGCATAACTCCCTAACGGGTCCTGCTATCACACAAGTAGGATAATGATGATGATGATGCTGTGGATGATGATGTTGATAATTCCATTGTCCCTGCCAGGATGCAGGATCGGAGCTCCGGCATCCAGCTCGGTGCTAGCTAGGCTGGAGATTGAGCTTTCCAATCCAAAGCCCTTGCTCAGTCGGTGGCAGTTGCTTCCGCTGATGCTGCGGCATCCGTCAAAATCTTGTGATAGCGCCTCGCGATCAAGCCAGCCCCCTTCGCTCAAAGCTAGAGGTGGTGAGAGCACATGGCTGTCTAGCACTGGCTTGCTTCGAAGAGCCCACATCTCCCTCTCCCTATCCAGAACTCCTGCAGCCTCCTCAGTCGTAAACCTCAAATCGATATGCGTGTCGAACGCTTCCCGGGCGTTGGTTTACAGGAGCTGGAGGTGTTTCTCAAGCTGCATCGACCCTACCTCGAATTCCTGTGCTACTGTGTCCAGGGCCCCCACATGAGCTTGACCTTGCCATAGGTGCCTGAGCTGAGGTGCTCTCAGCACCGCAAGCTTCCGAAACTTCGAGCTTCAAGACTGACCAGCACAAATGCTCGGGTGAAGCATCTGTCGATTTCTGTCGATGACCCTCCAGTACGCCTAATGCGAATGCGGAAAATCACTGAACTTGATCAGGGAATGATGACTGAGTCTTGAAAGCCTGGGGCCTAGATAGTCTGCAAGTGGAAACCACCATCCGACCCATGCGACTTGCAGCTTGGCGGCCCCAGAACTGCCGCTTCATGGCCTGGAAGGAGACTTGCATAAAGAAACTTCGGATGCAGAGTGTCGGCGACTTTGTGCACGTGCCGCTTGCGGCCAAAATCACATCTTGGGATATAGGCTCTTGCTCGGAAACAAAGTTTGCCACGCCTTGACTTCCGCACGCACGAGTTCCCGCCGCTTGCGCTCGTCTGAGCAGATTCTCAACCTCGATTCGCGCAGGCAGGAGATGCCTTTGACAAACGAGAATTGGATATGGCATATCATGTGCCTCAAAGCCGATCAATTCTGGTCCATCTATCTTTGTCATCGCCATCATCACCATCATCTCGAAGCCCGAAGCTCAAGCAAAAGCTGCTGTGCCGAGGACCGCGCACGCGGACCTCCTCGGCCAGGGAGAGCCGGCAACGTGCTGAAACGTGCGAGAGCTTTCGCCTCAGCACGCACCAGGGCGGGGCCCAGGGTTTGGATGTCCGACATTGGCGGTTGTTGCAGGGCTGGCGGCACTGGCTGTTGGAGATTCTGGGCTTACGTCCTTGAGGTGTGCAGGTCGGCATCTGACAAGGGGAGCTACCTGTAGCAGGCTGACGGCCTGCACAGTTCGACATTGCAGTCATTATGACAGAGTTGGGACATGAACCCGAAATCACAGTATCTGCCGCCGTGCACTCCGAAAGCCGAGCATAGGACAAGTAGCCTTCGACCTGCAGATCTGAAAAATTAGGCGTCAGGGTCCCGCAGTTCAGTTAAGAGCTGGAAAGGACTGCAGACAGCAGGGGAGTCCATGAAGCAAAGCATTAAAGCAGGATAGATGAAACCTCATCTGTATCCAGGGTGTGCCCCTTGAATTCTCGAACAGCCCCCAACTCTGCACCTTGGACTCCAAAGCCCTGCCTCCTTGCAGTTTTCCCATGGCCACTCCAGACCGGGTGCATTGCACATGGCCAGCGTGATCTGCAGCCTCTGCTGCTTTCGGAGGAGATGTACATGATCTTTGAGAACTTGCTTCGGTTATTATCTTTGTTGAAGGACCTTTCCACTCCTGCTACAGTTAGACTTGACAAGATTCTCGGCACAGGGGTTCGTTTTGAGGTTTATCAGACTTTGACCTGAGCCGACGGCCGGATGGCGTGGGTGTCCGGATCTGCATCGCCCTGGACAGTATCGATGTTGCTTTCTGGTCTACTTGTATTTGGAAATCGTGCTGGTGGCAGCTACAACTGGAGACGGCCCTTGAATGTGAGGTCTTCCTCTGCCGTCCGGGGCTGTCGGGCTTCGAACTCTTCGGGCTTCACAGACCATGCTAGCTTGAAGATAGCAGTCGGAGCTTGCAATGAGAAGCAGCTTGCATGACAACCAAGGGCGGGGCGATGATGCTAAGTTGGTTGAAGATTTGGCATTCGCCCGCATCCAGTCCTGGGCGCCCCCGACTTCAGCATAGTCTTGCTCTTCTGGCAAGGATTCTGAAGCTCAGATCGATATGAATAGCAAACGCAAAAGCGATAATAACAACAGTGCAACAGAAACAGCAGCAAATGCGCACGAACAGCACAAACCCCCATTCTGGGCGTTTGCTGACATTGAGCCCGAAAGTGAATCTACAAACTTTCCAATCTTGCTCAGGGCTTAGGGTTTATAAGTCTATGAAACCTCAAGTTTAATTTTGAAGCCTGCACGCTTGCATTCCCCGTCCATAGACAGATTCAACATGATCCCAAGACCTAGCACGAAACAATACTTTGCGAGACTATACAACAGAAGCCAAGGACAAACCCTCATCGAACTTACTGTAACAGTCCATGGGAAAAACGCATGTGGGAAAAGCGCGTGCACGGGAAATGTGGCGTATCCAGAATCTACAGAAGCTCGACATCTTCGAGGCTTCGGCGGTCATCCGTTGCAATGCTGTTCACCAAGGCAGCCCTTAGAAGTGCAGGGGGCTTCCGCTTTCCGAGGTCGGATCTTCCACAGGGGGTCAGTGGTTTGAGTTTACGCTCTGAAGCCTGTTTGGGTTGTATCTTGCAGCTTGTTCTTTGGGCCTCCATCGCGGGATGCGAATTCAGCAGCTTCTGTGTTGTCACGAACGCGGCCCATGACAGCCTTCGGAGTATAGCCCCAAAGCAGTAGTAGTCCCAGAACCACAGGTTCGAACCAAGAAGCATGGACTTGAACTGCGGAATGAATCTGTCTGCCCTCTAGGGGCCAGGCGCTTCACCATAGTTTCGGTGGAGCCATCGCATGAGCAGCAAGTACAGCGCCGAGTTCTGAGTGGGCCTGATGTTGATGGTCACCAGGCGGAGGAGGAGGAGGAGGAGCAGAAGGAGCGCCACGACGACGACGGCGACGACGACACCACCGCAATGGATTTATGCTTGAGGGCTTCCGGGTTGCTGACAGGGGCCTTTCGGACTTGGAGCTTTGATTTCGGCGGGGACGGCGGAGAAAGTAAACATTGGTCTAGGCTTCGCTTCGGCTAGACGTGCACTTCAGGGTTTCGGAATTGAGCAGCCCCAAATAGGACGGCTGAGACGCATGTCTGAGACGGCAGCGCATGATCGAAGAACTGAGCCCATCACGTTTGCAAGAACGACAGGGTCGGGTGAACCTCGGCACTTCCATCTACTTCTCTGCTTGCGCATCTCCAGCAGAAACCGGAGATAGTCTGCTCAGCGTAAGTATCCGGCTGGGTACAGAAAGCTTTTGTTCCGCGCATTGCAATTCCACTTGAAGTCCGAACCTCAGTGAATAATGACGAAATGCATGTCCGCATGTTGTTGGCCAGGCGCCAAGCAAAGCTGACAAATCATCTATCCATCTGTCCATGCATCGATCGATCCATCTGTCCATCTATCTATCTGTCTACCTACCTATCTACCTATCTAACTATCTACCTATCTACCTATCTACCTATCTACCTATCTATCTATCTATCTATCTGTGTATCTATCTATCTATCTATCTATCTAGCTATCTATCTATCTGTCTATATTTGCGTAGATGTAAATATAAATATAAGTATAAATATATAGGTATAAATATATACACACTCATACTTTTAACTATATATAATGTATATACAACATCGCCAGTAAATTACGCATGCGTTCCAGTCGCAAACGGCTCATGCATGGCATGGCTTGCAGGCGCCAGATTGGGCCAGTAATGCTTTGCATGTCGTCGCCTTACCTCATCATCTAATGGTGACCTACTTGGATAGGTGCACGCAGAAAGGCTGCAGATCCGGAACAAGCAGAAGCATGCACGATTAACGGTTGGGTGGAATCTCGGTAGCCGGCGAGCAAACACGAGCTCAGTGGAGAAAGGGTCAGAATCGATCACAGGCCTGAGGTCGACCGAAAGGCTTCACAGGCGACAGGAACCACGCCGTCTCTGGCGACGCCGGGTTTTCACTTCACCTCAACGTGCAAAAGCCGACACAGCCTCCCCTGTCTCAGGCCCCTGGCCTGAACACCTTTACGTTGGGACCTCAGTCAAGGCTGCATCGAGTTTGTGGAGGTTTCGAGGGCTTGAGGTTCTGAGATTGAACCCGCTCGGGCTCCGGGTTGACAATTCAGGCTTTGGTCTTCAGGGCCAGTGCTTGAGAGTATTTTCAGACGATCTAGGTGGCTGGAGTCTGTAGGCGTGGCGGAGAGGAGAACCGTTGGCATTCGGAAACCCGAAACCCCAATCCCAGTCCCCTGTGCAGCATCAGCTCTTCGAAGCTATACACACAGTACCCGCTCGGCTTGACTACAGTGCCTGAGACCTTGTGAAGTTTCATTTCTCACTCTTTCCGCGACTGGCGACTGGTTGGTGGCACAGGCTCCAGTATTCAAGGTGCTTTAAACTCCTGTTGAATCATCTTTTGAAAACCGTTGCTGGGCAATAAAAAGGGAATGCTGTGACCGCTGCTACGCAACGACAACAGACAGTTGCACAGATAGGTCGAGAAAGAGAGAGAGAGAGAGAGAGAGAGAGAGAGAGAGCAGAAAGAGAGAGAAAGACAGGGAGAGAGAGAGAGAGAGAGACCGGTGGAGAAATGATTACATGTATAGGAAAAGTGCGACGTTTTCTGTGTGTATATAAACAAGAGTGTGTGTGTGTGTGTGTGTTTGTATGTAATATATATATGTATGTATGTATGTATGTATGTATGTATGTATGTATGTATGCATGCATTTGCATTGCACATACTTTCGTGATCATGACCTGAAGGCTCGCGACAAAACCCGAGGCTGATGCAAAGCACGTAGAACTCTGCGTTCTCTGTCTGCAGGAGTAAAGCCTGCTGTACCGGTACGTGCTTCCACAGTCTAGTCTGGACATGGTTGCCGTGGAGCACGGTGACTCGCTGAGAGGGCAGATGTACAGCAGCATCATCGGGGTCAGAATCTCGTTTTTTAACCGGACAGGAGGCGCGCTTCGTGCGCATAACTCAGCAATTTGGACAGTTCTGGGAACTGAAAATGAGCATGAGGCTTGCTGATCTGTCAGAGTCAAGGTAGTGAGGCTGGGCACGCTCTGATTGCCGAAGGCCATGAAGAGAAAACTTCTCACTGTCCGTAAACCTTTGAGATGCGCCGGTAACATACCTTCACACAGGTCTTGGGCTCTTTTCATGCAAAGTTCCGATCCCTTCCGATCCCTTCAGCCGAGACCCAGACATGGGGCAGCGGCGACAGGAGTCTTGCTGCCTCACTGCGCAGCGAGGTGGGCGGACCATTCGGCCTCAGAGCATGGAAACAGAGGGATTTGGGGTTTAGGTAGCCATAATCATGACAAGGCCCCAACATGTTCAAAGGCGTTTATCAAGGTCTGTGGGTCTATCATGCAGTGTCCAGCAGGCTCACCCTACATCAAAATCAAAACAATGCCAAGCAAGGGCTGATCCTTGAAGACTGAACCCCACTTCTCCAGATCCTAATCCCCTAGGCCATCTTTAGTTCAACTCAAAACCCAGACTTCAAAACCCCCAGAAAAGAAGATCAAGGATCCCGGCCAACCGAAAAGGACATCTTCACGGGTAGAGGCCCGCGCAGAAACAAATCGCCATGATCGACGCAGTACAGGCGCAGCTCGTCTCCTTCATCTGAAATCGTCGACAGCATGAAGCCGCCGAAAACTATGTGCTTTCAGCGGTTGTTTCCCAGAGTTCCAGCAATATGTGTTGGCAACATGCGTTGTTCTGGAATGGTTCGGAAGACCTATATGAGAAAAGCAACATGTGTTTAGAAGTGACTGCAGTTCGGGGACTGTAACACGCGTGCCTGAAGTTTGTACCAAGCTGCTTCTGTCCACCCAGGCTCGTTTGGGTACACATGTATATACACACAGAAAAGCATACGGTGAGGGCAGCATAGACAATTAGAAAAAACAACACACATGTCGCCAACTCTAATTGACCTGCGGCTGAAGCTCGGGCCTTTCTGAACGCTCTTGAAATTCACAGCCAGCCGCGGAAGCTCGACAAGGTCAACGGTTGGATGGCGCGAGCCAGCTTGTGGGTCCACACCTTGGCCGGGCGCTGGTAGCGACGGCGGTGCCACTTAAAGAAGCGCACATGAAGCATGTATCTGAAGTCTGCGCTGTGAATCACCTTCATGAACATATCTTCCACACCCCAGACCTCTGCCCCCTATATTACAGAGGCCAAAGATGGATCCTTTCACTAGGCATGGCCGAGTCCGAGCCATCAGGCAAAGCACGAAAACCCTTCGAGTACTAATCGTACCCTATCAATCGGCCAAACGACTCGCCTCTGCCGGTGCGGAAGACCGAGCCGTGCTGTAGATAGTTCTTGGTCGCTCATATGCCTTATCGCCTGTCCAGTGTCTCTTGGCGTTTGCTCACCGCTTATATGCCGTCGTAAGACGCTGTATACATGAACACTCGAGTGCATGCACGGGTTGTGTTTCGTCTTGTCTTGGAACTTGGGACCATTACAACGACCGCCAACAAAGTAAGCGCTACTGCAAGTCCCTATAGTCACTGTAGTCACAGCCTCCGGCCCTGTATCGAGATGACATTTGCATCGCCTAGCGAGCTCGTAACGGCCGTTGTCGGCTTGTGGCAGCCACCGCCGGGTAAGCTGTGAAACGTTGCTATGCCAACACCTGGCACTGCATCTTCATGAAGGAATTCCTACCTCCGGAGGTGGAGGCGTTTTTTCCTAGGTCTGGCGGACACTGCTTTTCCTTGGTAGGTCTGGCGGACTCCTCTGAAATGCAGCATTTTGGGTGCTCCATCTCCAGCCCTACCATGTCCCGAAGGTCGTAGAGGCCGACATCCTAGTCCTAGCCGGAACTCTAAGTGGAGTCCTGGCTCCAAGCGCTAAGCTCCTCAGCATGTCGGCTGCCTCTTAGCTGCCGGAGGAGGCTCCTGTTTCAGCTTCAGCGTCGGGTTCAAGACAAAGACCAAAGGTCGCCCCTCCCGATCTTCGGGTCTGAAAACGAGTCAGGGTGTCGGGCTTGGGGGATTGGGGCTCTGGCATGGAGGGTTAGAGCGCATCGAGCCTTGGGCTGTTGGGATTGAGCGTCTAGGCTTTAGCGCCATGTGTTGAGTGGCCGTCTAGGACGAGTTTCGAAGTGATGGTAGACTCTTAGACCGACTCCTCTCAAAGCACAATGCAGCTAAAACCCATAACCCCTACAGCCTAGAATCCTAAACCTTTCAACCAGAACCCAAACCCTCAAACTCCTACCCGAAGCCTAAACCCGAAACCTGTAAACCCTAAACCTCGGCAATCTAGGCCTTGCTACTCTTCTCGTGCATGTCTAGCGATTGCCGCTTCGGGAGAATCTAAACCCGGGCCTCACAATAATTAGAATAGGATTTGAGGGTAGTTACATAGCTGTATAAAGGATATTGAACACTACTGTCACAACTGCCCCGGACCCTATAGTAAGGTTTTGAGGGCTCAGTCTGGCATCAGGCCTAACTAAGTGCTATCCACACCATGTGATTAAGAAGTCCTCCTCTCGGTCTTCAGCTGCCTGGGCGCCAAATCATCGAAAAGGGGGCAGGGTTTCTGGCCTCTCTGCTTTCGTTAAATCTTTGACCCGACGAGGCGTAACTGGGAGCAGACCCGCTTCTTCCCTTCCTGGGAGCCCGGCATCAGCCCTGTTGCACTCTCTGCATCCAGGGCCTCCAGGGCCTTGGAGATTCTCCATCATATGGGGGGGTTTCCCAAAATAGGGGACCCTAAAAAAGCACCTTAAATAGTAGGATCCTTCTTATAAGGGCCCCAAAGGAGCGTACCCCTTATTTTCGGAAACTCTCATGTCATCATTAACTCTTCCACTTTGCTGAGCTGTATCCAGCAAGATGTGTTCGGTATGTCCATACTAGTATTGATTCTCTGTCCTGCATGTTGAGCTTAAAAGCCATGAAGCCTCTGGGGTTCACACTTACTTCTGGGCAACTGGGAGATGGCGGAACCATGGAATTTAGCTACATGCAGTTGTGGAGCACAGGCCCTCATCAAACCACAGCAGCAACCATCGATGTTAAAAGCGTTTGAGTCGCGAAGGACCAAAAGCCTACTAGGAACCTGGAACCTCCACTGCTTGCACTTCTCTACGTTGCTAGATGTTGCGAGGCTCGAGATCGAGAGTCTGAGAATCCCGACAGTCTTCAGGCCCTCGATCTCGGCTTGCCGCTTCGCCCGCCTCTCCTTCCAAAGACTGCAGCCCCGCAGGTTCAGGACTAGATGGGGATCCCACCCGTAAGGCAGTTCTCGAACATACTCACTCAACAGTTGCGAAGAAAGGCTCTGCACCACAACTTCGATCACTTCCCACACCAGCATGATAGTAGCAGAACCACCACCGCCATCAATTCAGCGCTGCTACGGTAAGTGCCGCTGAACGGCAAAATGACGCCATGCCACGACCGCACCACTTCGACCATTTCCGAACACCATCACCACCACTACCGCCACCACAACGACCCTCGCCGCCACCGACACCACAGGGACGAAACACTCGCATTGATAATCCAGGATAACCGATCGTTCATTCTCGTCATCTCTGCTCGCCGCCAGCAGTTTGAGCAGCACTGGGGGTGGGCAGCTGAGTTTACCAGTTTAAGGCTTGGAGATGCGAAGGACCCCCATGTGACGCGCCCCCGAGCTCTAGAAGGCCCACATACGTTGCCCAACCACCTACCTGTATAGACGAATAGACGCTGGAAAACGAAGTCGCCACCTCTTGCACCTCAACTTAACCATCAGAAGCAACTTCGCCCCCACGCCTCGAAGGACTCAGGGGTAACTGTGCACTCCGCCTTGCAGATGTGTGTGTGTGTGTCGTGCGTTACCCTAGACCATCTGAAGCATGATTTCCCGGGGCGAGGGTTTGCGGCCGAACTTCTTCCTTGGCAAGAATTTTTATGTTTGTTATGATAATTGGTATCAATGTCCGCAGTATTGTCATTATTGTTGTTGTTATTAGAAATGTTACTTTTCTTCGTCCCTAAACCCATGACCCTAAAGCCAGGCTCGGGCTTTACTTCGGGGAGCCGGTGTTGGTAGTTGGACGGCATCTTCTCTAGCCTAGGATCATAGCGAACCCACCTTGACATGCGTCCATCTATACTCAAGCTTGACTAGGAGCCATCTCAGGTGGAGTGGAAGAAAAGCTGCGTCTGCAAAGAGCAACCCCAAAATCCAAATTGACTCAAATGGAAAGCCGTACTCTTCGGAGTTTGGGACTCGCTCAAAACTCTCGGGGCTGAGCCAGGGCTGTGCAAAGGACCCGAAATCACGTGTCGTTGTGCGAGCACCGGCTGTGGAGCAACGGGGATGACTCGTTTCAACAAGGCTGGGGAGATGTGCGACAAGGGATCATTCGGCGGTCCGCTGACCATTGGACCATTGGCGACTACTGCACAATGCTTGATGCAAACCTGGACTGGAGTCTATGCCTATACAGATACGCGGACAATGTTGCCCTCTGTGCCTGCAGCCCACTATTGAACTCCTCAATGGCAGACAGCTCTGTCTGCACGTTGTCCGAATCCGACCTGGCTGAACATTTCTGAGCTCGTTTACAAGCATGCATCATGTTTGCGAGCAGAAGTTTGTTGTAGACGTTGCCCGGAAATCACGATTCATCCCCATGTGGACCACGCTAATGCCTTTCTGTGGCCCAGAAACCCGGACAAGCGACAGCAGCTCACCATCGGGAAGTAAGCCAAACTAAGTGCCACGGCCAGCAACTCTGAGACTGCATCCTGCAACCTGACTGGCACGAGGTTTCAAGCACTCTGAAACCGACGAAGCCCAAAGCTCAAGGAAGACCGTGGCAGCACCACCGAAACTCTTGCAGCTCCACGTCCAAGCGCTTTGCTTCCTGTTAAACACTCCATGGCATCTCGCAAGACTCGGGGAACGAGGCCAGAGTGCTTCTAGGACTTCTTCTGAGTGGCTGAAGTGCGGAAAGACGTTTAAGGTGCACTGTTAGTTTCGGGCTTCTGGCTCATGGGCGAAGCCGTGAGCTAATTAGGGTGCGGGTTCACAAGAACAGAAGTGCCTAGTGACGTTTGCACTGTTACAGCAGTGTTACCCGTGCCATGCCGCCCATGTCAGGCTGTGTTCTGCAAACCCAGTCGCGGATCATTTCAAAAGCTTCTATGGGACAGCGCACTGGCTTATGTACCTGGCCTTTGGTACCTGCTGCAGCTCGAAGGCATGGCATGGCATGGCCAAGCTGCGTCACCCCCTCCCTCTCCCCTCGAACTCCGATTCTCAAATGCCGTCGACCCCGTGCTTCGGATCCTGGGCTTTGTACTTCACATCCTGCTCTTTGCGGGCTTTCTCCAATTCCAGGTCCTGCAGGGCCACTGCAGGGCACGCGCCATGCTGTGATCCGGAAGTGCGTAAAGGAACTTCAGGGCCAGAACTTCGTAAGCTCTTTTAACAGCGAAGACCCTCAGACCAAACGTAGATAACATGACTCCCATCGCGAAACACGAGAATCTCATTTCATCCTGCCTTTCGGAGATTCTGAAACTCTAAGACTTGCATATCCGCATCTCAATTGTCAAGCAACGCGCCTGCATGTCCTTCTTGAAGTCTTCCTACGCACAGGGCTGATGAGTGCTTCAGGAATTGAGGGCTTCGTCCTCTCAAGACGCCTCCGCCTGTCATGACCTGTGGAGCTGACAGACATGTACAGCTGCCAGTGCTTGTCAGGGTTGACAGGTTCTCAGAGCTACATTATTGAACTCAGCAAGCTTCATGCTTACCCACGGTTGCTTACAAATCTTCCCACATTCTCTTGAAGCTCTGGGAGTTGTTGTCTTTGCAGGTCTGAAAGGCTTGACTCCACCCCGTACAACTTTACAGAAACCCAAAACTCCAAACCTGAATGAACCCTGGACCCTAAAGGCTGCTCCCAAACCTAAACCCCTACTTGTGCTGGCTCGGCCTGAGCTGTCGCCTCCGCCACTCGCATCTCTGCGAGATTCTTGGCGAAGTCGGACTCCACGACCTTTCTTTTGCAGGTGTTGGTACCTTTTTGGGTTTACGGGCTTGGGGCTTAGGGTTTAGGGCTTGGGGTTTACATAGGCAGATGGTTTGGGGTCTGAAGCTGTTGCATGTCGAGTCAGTAACTAAATCATTTCTCTTCGAGGGGGGTGGGGTTTTGGAATTGGAGGTTAAGGTCAAGGTTTATTGCTCTAATATAAGCTTCCGCGAAGGACCCACTTCTTGTACCGAGCTCTTAGAAGAAACGCAAGCCCTTTCGGGCGGTTCCCCCCCCTTTCTCTATTTCCTTTCGTACCGTTTGCTCTTCGTTCCCAAATTCTCACATCACTTTTTCAGCGGTTCGCTGGCACATGGTCCCTTTCGAACGGCTCACTCCTCTTTCGCCGATTTTCTAGTCCCTTTCGAGCGGTCCGCTCCACCTTCTCAGATTCTCTGGTTCATTTTGAACGGCTCGCTCATCTTTCTCAGATTCTCTAATCCGTTTCGAACGGTTCGCTCCTTTCTGAGACTTTTCGAACGGTTCGCCCCTCTTTCTCAGATTCTCTAGTCCCTTTCGAACGGGTCGTCCCTCTGTCTCAGATTCTCTAGCCCCTTTCAAGCAGTTCCCTTCTTCTTCAGAGTCTCTAGTTCGTTTCGAACGGCTCGTTCCTGTTTCTCAAGTTCCCCAATCCCTTTCAGGCAATCCTCGCTCCTCTTTCTAAGGTTCTCATCGTCCCTTTCGAGCGGATTGCTCGTCATTCTCAGTTTCGAGCGGCTCGCTCCTCAGATTCTCTAGTTGCCTTCGAGGAGTTCACTACTCTTTCTCAAATTCGCTAGTCCCCTTCGTCGCTTCATATTTTCGGATTCTCTGGTCCCTGTATACTGCTTCGCGCGTCTTTATAATTCTCAGATTCTCTTTCAACATTTCGAGCGGTCCACTCCGCTTTTTCACCTTGTTTAATCAGCTTCGAGCATTTGGCCTGCTGTTTCAGATTCTAGTTACTTGGGCCGCTTTGCTCCGTTTTCTGACATTGATCCAGTCCCTTCTATGCGGTTCGCTCGAAAATCAGATTCTCGAATGCCCTTCGAGCGGTTCGCTCCTCTTCCTTTGCGAGTGGAGATCATCTAGTCGGTTTCGAGGCCTTCGCTTCATTTCCTCAGATTCTCTTGCTCTTTTCGGGCGGTTCGATGCCCTTTATCAGATTTTCTAGTCCCTTTCGATCCGTTCGCGCTTCATTCGCAAACTCTGCAGTGGTTCACTCCTTTTCGCAGATTCTCGGATGCTTGTCGAGCAGTTCGCCTCTCCTGTCAGCCGCGCTCCTCGTTCTTAGTGATCCGCTTTCTCATATTCTCTAGTCACTTTCGGGCGGTTCGCTTCTCTTTCTCAGATTCTTTAGTCCTGGACGAGCGGTTCGATCCTGTTTCACAGACTCTCTCGCGGCTTTTCTCAAACAATTACCTGGTCCCTTTCGAGCGATTCGCTCCTCTCACAGATTCTGAAAGCCCTCTCGTGCGGTTCACTGCTTTTCTCCAGTCCACTTTGAGCGGTTCCCTCCTCTTTTTCGGATTCCTTTGCCCCTTTCGAGCGGTTGACTCAGATTCTCTAATCCGTTGCGATCTCATGAAGCTTCACAAGCAACTGCCAGTCCCTGCGTGGCGACTTGTCTTTACGAAGAGCCGTCCATTCAGATGCTGGCCTCCAACATCCCCATGACGCCGGTGGCAGCTCCTCCAGACTGCTGGGTATCAACATCCCAGCAGTTCGGAACTCAACTGCTTGAAAATTGCTCCCTCATCAAGACTTCAGAGGTGCAGTCACACTGCTGACGGCTTCGGGATGAGCTCCTGAATCCACCCCAGGTATCATGTAAAGAAGACTAGCAACTTGCAACAGGAATGCTGGAATGGTACGGGCAGTAGTTCCAGCAGTAGCTACGATAAAACTGAGAACAAGAAGAAAAAGAAGAAGAATAGCACTGGCAACTGCAGGCAACAAGCTGCACCTCCGCGCTCGGTTGCCGCCTGCGTTCCCTTGTAGTACCTTGCGCAAAAACACCACCACTCCCGGGAATTGATATCGAGACATGGCGGGGCAAAGGAAGGTGCGGCCTGTCAAAAGGTGGCTGGAAGCCACCGGAGGTACTAAGAAGGGTCCAACACCACTGATATGTAGCGGAAGACGCAATGAACTGCCCCTTCGCCAAGACTCCTAAACTCCGACCTCAATCCCCAAACCCCCAGCGCACTCTCGAAGGACTTTGAGGGCCGTCTTCACGCCGTCCAAGCCCTCCTGCGCGCGCCAGCCGACTGGAGCGCAGGCTGCAGGACTGGTATTGCGGTGTTGTCTAGTATAGTAGCAATATGACGTGATGGGAAGAATCATATCATTGCATTATAGTATTATAGACATTGTAGTATGATCGTGTTCACGTAATGTTAGCATTATCGTCTGGATTCCACCGAGACTGACAGTCTGGGCTCTGCGTATGGCTATCATCAGGATGCACATTTCAGAGCAGCCCTCGCCGGCGTGGCCTGCACCTCCGGGAAAGCTTTTTTGAACCTGAGCCAGGACCCAAGCTCTACAACGACCAAGCCAACAGCTCCTACTGCCTCTGCTGCGAATCAGGAAAAAATTGTATTCGCACACATGCTGGAGAATTCCTCTGTTCATCGAGTGCGCTACCAGGAAGATGCAACTTACACGCAGTATGGCTGAGGCCGAAGCTGTGCCTTTTCTTTCTGTCTCATGGCAGTGGTATTGACCTTGCATACTTGCTGCTAGCCGACACTCTGCTGAACGACACAGACCTTACAGACCATGTTGCCATGCACAAACTATCCTGAATGGAATATACCTCACGTTGCCACGACATGCAATGCCTTGCTGGCACAGGCATCAACACCTGACACCTGAACCATGGACCCGAAAACCTGCATTCCAAATTTTGACAGCTCTCCTTCGCTGTTGGGAACCCTTGGCCAGCGCCAATGGGCCATGAAAAGCCCGCACCCGATCTGAATCGTAAACCTCAACATCATGGAACCCGACCCAAACACTTTGGCCTGGAACTCCCCAATGGTCACCAGCGCTTTCTGAAGGTCTGCAACTTCCTCCTGCCCCGTACAGGGATCTGCTGGGGTTCAAGGTTCCTTCAAGCTTCACTGTAGGGTTTGGTGCTCTGAACTCACTAGATCATGAGCTTTTTGGGGCTTCTGTCGACCCCAAGTCCAGCACCCAAGCACATGGGAGTCGTACTTTTCGCTGTCATCGACATACATCGGCGTTCGTCGTGTAAAGTCTGTGCTATTGATGTTATTCTGTTTTGGTGGTTGGTCGTGTGGCTCTTCGCTGGTAGACCCATGAACGCAAAAAAGGAAGAACTTCGGGCGATTGTTTCAGGGTAGTTTTGGGATCAGGGTCTGGAGAAGTTTGAATGTTTAGGGTTCATCGTAGTCCGGGGCTTTGACGGGACTTTGCAGACCGTTTCCTGGGAAGCTTTTCATAGTTCACCCCCGAGCCCGACTGTAAACCGGTGCACAACCCCTCCGTGCCTTCAGCGCTGCCGACTTCGAAGTAGCTGCATCGATCCTATTACCGAGTTTGGCTGGCTATCCAAACAGGTCCCGAGACCGTCCGGAAGGTTTGCCCTGGTTTCAGCTTCTCCAACACATCAAAGCACTGTTAGAATCTGCACACCTAGGACTTGTGCTGTTATGGAGCCTGAGTTTCCAAAGAGAGCCTTAGGCGTTTGCCGAGTGCCTCGGGGTCCTCCTGACGCGGGAAGCTATGATGCAGCGACTTATTGCGAAAGCTACTCACTGCAGGACGATACTGCAGCACGTAACCGATACGAAACAAATGCCAAGCCAGTGGCTCAGGCACAGCGAGAAAGACGGAAACATCATGCTTCGGTGCTCACCGCTCACAGACCTCCCACAAGCCGGAAGCAAAAAGGACTCGTACCTGCAGTTCTGATAAGACCACATAGGCTTAGGCTTAAGATTGAGAGTCAGGGCTACGCAAGCATTGCTTCCGAAACTCTGTCCCTGCTAGCCCCCAGCCGGGACCCTTGAAGGAGACAACATCCCGTTTGTCGGGCAGTGTTCTGGCCGAGTTGCTTTGTCTGCAGATCTTCGAGTTCGGATTGTTTGCCCTCCTGCTTGGACGCGGCCTGTTGATGGTGCAGAGCATCCGGCTTTGACAAGTTGTGGTGCATCGGAATATTTTGGACCTGGCGGTCTTCGAAATTTGCAGCATGTTCCGGACAGGTCTTTCGCAACCCCTATGTCAAGCGGCAATCCTAAATTTTAAACCTGAGGCCTAGTTGACCCCGAAATCCGACAACATCCGACAGCTCCGTAAGCAAGAGTTGGTTTGGGGCTGAACGTTCAGCTGAGGGCTGGCTTTTCAGCGGAAGTCTTGGCTTAAGAGGCTGGTCTGGTGATTCAATCCTCGCAAGCCAACACCCCACTCCCCGGCACAGCAAATCCACCTTCTTCATCTCTGCGTCGCAATACGCCTGGCGCAGCCCAAGGACGCAGTGCGGCGAACACAGATTCTTACAGATTCTTACATTTCCTAACAGGAATGGCATCAGACTCGCAACAATCCTGAGAAGACACTCGAGGACAGGCCCCTCCAGCGCCCAGGATCAAGTGTAAAGCCAGCAGGACGGATGCTTGAGGCTACCAACTCAGTTGTTTCACAAAGCCCATGCTGGAGTGCAGAACGGCCAGGGGCATAGACTAGGCCTATGCTCGCAGTCCACAACTCTTCGGATGCCTTCTTGCCGGCTTCCTCTCGGAGTTTCTTCTCCATGCTGTCGATCATGTCCTGTCAAGCGAGGCTCTACCGAAATCCCTCACGTGGTGAATCTACAGAGGAGCGGTGCCAGGGTCAAGCCGATCCATGCGTAAGGCACCCCTGAGAGCGACCCTCACAAGCTTCTAGGTCACGAATTTCTACTCCTGACAGGCCCACATCTTCAATGCCATCTCCGTGCAAACTGCGCTGTCCGCTATCATCGTCTTGATCTTGCCGAAGGCGTCAGCACTGGACGTCAAGTCGGAGCCTCTGGCTCAGGATTGTGGTGTTAGTAGCTTTGGTGTCTGTCGCGGTTTTCATTCTGTTGCAATCAATACGCATGTGCCTACCAATGGCACGCGGTTATGCCAGGGGTTGGCATGCAGCACACGCATCCTAACTGTACCAAGTATACAGCTATGTTGTATATGCATGCATAAGAAACAACATATTATGTGCATGCATACATACATACATACATACATCCATGCATGCATGCATGCAGGCAGGCATGCAGGCAGGCATGCAAACAGGCAGACGGGCAGGCAGACAGGCAGACAGATATATACACACATCTACAACTGACACGCATTTCACCCAGGCCGCCCTGCGCATGACTGTTCGCACTCGCCGCGACAGCAGCGCCAGGCTACTGGAGTTCGTCCTCCGGGGCCACGAATTTCGGCTGCGAGGGCTGATTGGTGGACCCATTTCCCCAAGGACGGCAGCCTCTAGCACACCGGCATGAGAATAATCTAGGGCCTAAATCAGCAGAGTAAGGTTTGGGGTATATTGTAGTATAAACAGTTGTGTAAAACCACAACGGGATGCCAGTACTAGCTACTCTCCGACCCCTCTAGTACCATGACAGTCAAACACTCACCAATGCCCTCAGTATCCCTCGATGGAACCTGGAAACATATCGAGCCCATGCAGACCTACCCTATGTCCGGCCCTACATCTTGGCTGGATGAACCTGGCAAAGAGGCAAGTGACCCCAGTTGCACCGCGCGGTCGGGGACTGGATATCTGAGGCTGATATTTGCCGATGCATCCTGCTGCAAGGGTCGTTCGAAGACTCGTTTTGAATGCTGTGTAAACAATGTACGGCAAGATTTGGCTGGTTCAAGACGAAATTGAGCCCTGCATGTCAGCAGTTTCAAAGGGGAATGAGACTCGGAGGACCCTCAGAATCCATAGCAAATACTTGCATCTAGCCAAGGCAAGCTCAAGAAGCAAGCAGCTTAACACCTTCTATGACCACGCCGGGCCTGCGTGTAACTTCGCGGAGAACTGCCAAGACACCATCTCCACCTAAGCTGCAACTGTCATAGCCTCGGTACCTACATTGTTACATTCAACGACAGCGACGGCCTATTTCAAGGGTCCCTGATTGCCCAACCGTCGTTGACCAAATTTGCCAGCACATGCTTACAAAGAAATGGGGCGGCGTCCTCTGTTTAGAGCTGATCGGAAGCTGGGGGTGCTGCCAAAACTGCCAGACCTCGAGGAACTCGCAACCTGTTGGGTTGCGACTGCTATGGTGCTTTATATACACGGGCTGTAAGGTTCTATGCATTATGAGAATCAGGGTTTCGCAGGGTTCTATGAGGGCGAATTAACATAAAGGGTTGCAGTATTTGTTGCTGTTGTGTCTTCAACCAATTAATCGCATCGCGAAGGTATCATGCTTCAAAGAGCCCACGGTTTCGGTGATCGCCTGGACAGGCTCAAAGAGGGAGACTTTCATTTTGCCCAGAAACAGCTGTCAATGTCAATGACGTGACAGCGGCCAACCGAGCTGTCGCCATGGCTATGGGATTTTGCATGTGGGCTGCGGAAGCTGGTTCAGGAGCCAAGGCCCTTACAAAATCACTGGTACTCGTAAGTAACTTCGGCCCTTCTGTCAAAGCATCCGCCCCTAAACCCTAAACCCTAAACCCCAATCCCGCCTGGAAGAAAGAGGTCGCCTCCAGACCGGTCTTCTCTGCTAGGGCTTCCTGCCATCGAAGCTTCCAGGGCTTTGGGTGGGGCGCCTCTCTTCACGAGAGCAACGGTCACCTTCATCTGAGTCATACCCTAAAACCCTAAAACCCTAAACCCTAAAGCCCTAAACACTCAAAACCCTAAGACCCTAAAACCCTAAGCCCTTTTGGGGGGCTTAGGGAGTTTTTCTGCAAGTTTGGCCCTGCCTTGGCCTTCCCGAGAGCCTCGAGCTCCTCGGCCAGGCCCTTCTTCTCCATCCTCGCTTGGGGCCCCAGGCCCCTCTGTCAAAAAGGGGCTCCAGAGGGTTTAGGCTTTAGGGGTCTAGGAAGTTTAGGGGTTTAGGAGTTTAGGGGTTTAGGAAGTTTTGGGTTTAGGGTTTAGGGGTTTTAGGGTTCTAGGAGTATTAGGGTTCCCGGAAACGGTACCCCAACAAAGCTACTCTGCCACTGTCGCCAGCTCGGAGGCCCAACCCATGGAGATCCGAAAGCCTGCAAGCGCTGGGGCGCCAGCTTGTAATCCTCCGCTTTTCTGCGACACTCCATCTTCACATCGTCCAGCTCCTGGCTCCAACAGCTCAGCTCACGGCAGGCTCTCCACTATCTGGAGCGGGGTCAGGATCTTGAACGATAAGTTCAACTTTTTTACAGCCGAGAATGCACAGCCGTGAGCATAACAGCCTGAGCACGGTCCGGCCTTCTTGTCGGCCTGCAGGTCGGATTCTGCTTCCTGCACGACACTTGTCAACGGAGCCCCCGTTGAAGCTTTCGGGATTCGAGGCTCGGCGGAAGTCAAGGCCGAGTCTTCTGAAGAAAACCCCTCGCCTCTCCCTCCCCTGTCCCTGGGCGGTTTCCGGGCGCCTCCAGGTCCTTCTGAGCCGTCGTCTTGCTGGTCCGCAGCTGGGCCTGCGAGGCCTTCAGCTTTCCAACCTGCATGGCCGCCGCCGCCGCCGCTCAGCAGTCGTCGTCTTCAACGCTTCCACAGGGAGAGAGAAAAGGAGATGAAAGGAGCAGGTGTGAGGCCCTGTGCGGCACCTCCTCCTGCGCAAAGGACACCTGGTCTTCCAGGGACTGGCGCATCATAGCAAAGCTGTGCTTGGCCGACTCCTCGCAAAAGGAAAGGAGCGAGGTCAAGATTGACCCGAGATGGCTGCAGGCTGCAGCTCACGCCCGGCGCACCTCCCTTTGCCGCAGCCCATTCAGCTCGGACTTGGCTTTGTCCTGCATGTCCTCCAGCATCTCGACCTCAGGCAGGGCGCGGAGCGCAACGACGGCAGTAAGGGTAACTTCGCTGTGCGACGGCGCGGGATAAATTTCCGAGGGGTGGCGATGCTGCCGCTCTTGCTCTCGTATGCCGGCTGGAGCTCGTCGACCTCTGAGGAGAGAGGAGGGTCGCTGTCCCTTCATCGGACTGGGCTAAGTACTGCTTCTTCTGCGATGGCGGTGCACGGTTTGGAAGGCCTGGCCTCGTCACCGCCCCCACTTTGGATGAAGGCTGTCAGGCCTCACCGTGCCGGTCGTTCGGCTGGAGCATCAGTTTTGCAGGTTAGGTGCTTGAGGGCTTCTTTCAACATCCAGTGTGGAGGATGCACTTCCTCCTCCGTCCTTTGGGCATCCAAACAAAGGTGATCCAGCACTGAGCAAGCAGCCGTCAGCGTCGGCCTTGTCAAGAGGCGCACACTTCAAAGCTTCCATAAGACACGCGCAATGTTGTAAAGTCTGACTCCTCTTCAAAATCATATTTGGTTGCCACGTTTACCAGCCGAAAGTGGACTCCTGCCGCCAAGTGGCTGAGCCAATCATCGCACCAGAAACCATCACATTGATGGCCGCAAGTACGTCGGGAGCCTTCTCGTGCAAGGATAGCTGCACTGGCTGCACTGCGCAACCCCTCAATACAGGGTGTAGCCCAAACTGCGTTCATGCTCAAGATTCCTTATACATTCCTTTGCTCAGGTCAACTGGACTACAGTTAGAGTTTGGGGCTTGGGCTTCGGGTTGGTGAAGAAGCGGCCCAGCGCCTCCTTTCGGACCGGTCCTTTAAGTTGACCACGATCTAGCCGGCGGAAGGGTGGCTCTGCTTGCCAGCGGCCGCAGTCTCAACATCGATAGTCCATGTGACCCTGCAGAACCCTCAACCCCCCCCCTTCTCGTTCCTCGAAAAAATGCCAGCTCGTCCAAAAGGTTCAGTGGCTCACAAGGCCCTAACCGTGACGATTGGACAGCAGAGCGATTGGACAGCAGAGGACCCTCTTGCAAAGCCCATGCCTTCTGCAACTGCAGCAGCGCCGTAGACGGGCCTTTAGCCGCCTGCCCATGTCATGATTGACCTCTCTGGACAACCAGAATCAGAAAGTGATCCTGCATTGGTGAATTTGAAAAGCGACATACGTCGGTTTCGTCGACCATGGAATTTGGGGAGACCCTAATGTTTAGCTAAAGCCGAAGCATGCCAAAAGGATGGATCACTATCCGCTCTCAGGTTCAGGGCTTCACTGAGGTGTTACTAGTACTTGAGGGGCCTTACGAATTAGAACCGGGATTTGGGGTAGATTGCACTACGGCCGAATGCGGGCTTAGAGCGGGGATTCGGCCTAAACTTGAGTGGGCGGTGAGCAACACCCAAAGCTCAAAGCTTTCCACTTTGAAGTTCACCTCCCTCTCCAGCGCGTCCACAGCACGCTCCAGGGACACCATGGTCTCCATCAGGTCCTGATCGCAGGTCGGAGCGCAGCAGAGGGTCAGCGGAAAGTTTGGGTTTACACGAATCACCATCATAAATCTTCAAATGCAACGAAGACTTGCAAGATCCATGCAGCAGAAACTCTTGCATCTCTGAACCCTGCCGGCCTTTTGTGCTGTCTCGAAGTTAGCCCTCTCCTCCGGGACCGTGCTTGAGATGAAGCTGTAGAGTCTGACGCAGCTTCGTACTAATCATAATCAAACGGCGGGTCTTTCAGGCATCAGGAATAGTGGTGCAAGCCGCACTGCATGCACAGCGGCGGCCGGAAAGCATGACGGAAAGAGAAAGAACTCCGCATCTACTGTACTGGCTCGTGGGCAGGCTGCCAGCTGTAAGGCCACAGAGACCCGACTTTGGTCGCGAAGGCCAAGATAGCCCCCTCCTGGCTGCGAACTTCGGCTGCCGTGTCGAGATTGACCTGCGCAGTTCAAGCTGAACAAAACTCAGAAGCCCCACCAGGGGGCAGGGTTGGCGACCCTCAGCACTAAACAACAAGGCAACAGCTGCCAAAGTCCAGATCTGTGCCTTGTTGGCTTGGATGTTGCTCAGCGCCTCCTCGTGCAAGAATGCTGAATCCATGCTGCAACCTTCAAGAGCATTTGCTTGCTCTGTGGATCGTGTTCTGATAGTGATGTGCAGAACTTGATAATCGGGGTGTACCGTCGAAGCTGGACTTCCACACCTGCATAAATTCGCCGGTGTCACAGAAGAGACCGCTGCGTGAGATGCAATTGCGTCACTGCTTTATGTAGTGTCAACCGTACTTCACAGTGGTTACAATCTGTAGCTAGCGCCGAAATGCCTCGCAATAGTAAGCATGAATCGGGCTTGAAGAGAAGGCGCCCGCTCCTGCAGATCACCGCCAACCGTTTGAAGCTTGGAATCTGCCTTTGAGATCCTCTGCTGCAATCGACAGAGGTAGGAAGCGTGAGTCCACGTATTATCGGGATCTTACTTATTAGACTCCCGGGGATAATATAATATTATGCAATAACCACAATATACCACAATGGACTATACCGGAACACTTGTTAAAAGTTCATTCGGACCTCCTTGTTGCGAAGCTCGACTTGTATCCCGAGGAGGGCTCGGAAGCTCCACTACTCGGCAGCACTCTCAAACCTAAAAAAGTGCCCAAAGAAGGATGATCTCGGATTCACTTGCATTGAAAACAGCCGTTGTCAGATCAGGTGCGTAGGATCCTGCAATCCTGCAATAACAAGATGCTGGTCAAAGTCCCAAGGACATGGAAGGGCCGAGAAACCTGAAAATTTCTGGCACCCATCCGCGGCATCCGCGGCTGGAAACCCTCAGTTTTGTGAATCCCCTCCCCTCCTGGCTTCCAGCTCCTCCTTGGAGTCCGCATTCTTCCGAATCGAGTAGCCTTGGAAGAAGCTGTGCCCTATACCCGGCCCTGGAGTAGAGACTCCGGAGACTTCGGCGACTTCGGATTCTGTAACCCTGAAAACGCTGAGAGACTCCACGTCTCGCAGCTTCCCGAGCAAGGGGCTGAGGTCGTCGTTTCTTCGCTCGCAGAAGAACTCCCTCTCCTCACTTCAATCGCGTGCGGGAACAACAACAGTTGTGCTAACAAGCAGGGTGCGGTTCGGCGTCTTAGGGTTTCAGAGTTTAGGGTGGCTGAGATTTCCAGCAGCTCCCAGTGGCCACTGGGCCTTCATGGCCTCGTCAGCTTCGATGCCTTCTTTTTTCACCTTCTCCTGGGAAGTATGAACTTTCAGCAGCCATGGGTTGTCTCAAGTGACTTCGACAATACTGCACCAAAGCGAGGCAAGCCAAGGTAGCTGTAGCTCAAATCAGCCCCAGCGCTTCGCAATCCTGCTGATTTCTCGGCCCCATCTCCCAGCCCGAACTCGCCTCCATATCGCTGAGGAGGGACATGACCTGGAACAGACGTCTGCCAGAACGACATCTATGAAGTCCTCTGGCAGCACGGAAGGGTTCCGGATCAAACCCTGCACTCCCAAAACCCCGGCAAGGCCTTCGCAATGGGGCTCCCCATTGCTGACCATGGCCAGGCCAAGAGGGGCAGCAGCAGGAGCCGCACCTCGTACAGTCTGGGATTACACAAGAAAAGTACAAGATCCTCTTGAACGTGGAGCATTTCTGTTGAAGAGTGGATTTGGGATTGGAGACCTGGGGATACGGTTCGGCGTTGCGTAATGCCTGCAAGGACCCGTGCCCGAATGCAGGGTTTTCACACATTTATCATTTGGACCTCCATCTATCTGAACGTTCTGTTTGCACACTACAGACCTAGTAGAATCACATCTCCTGTCAGCTCCAACTTCAAAAGCTGCACGACGTTTTGGCAACCAGTCCCGGGATCAACACCATTTCGCCGTCTGCACGCAGAGGCGATGCTACGTTGGCCTCAGACGAAGACAGCTCTAGTCGCTTTCATTGTTGGGATGTCTACCTCTATCCCAACCCTGGGGTCACATCTTACAGTTGGGCCACAACATGGAATCGGATACTGCCTTTTTCGGCGGCCTGCCTAGGGCTGAATTTTGTCTAAATTATCAAACAGAAGCAGCAGCAGCAGCAGCAGCAGCAGCAGCAGCAGTTAAGCAGTTGCTGCAGCAGCCCACTATAACAATCCAGTCTATCAAAAACGCTGTAAGACCGGAAGCCATAGCAACACCAATATTCGCAATGTTTCCAGATGTGATAAGACTTGCAGTACCCGTGTTCGCCTCCGTATTGACAACAACAGCTGTCACTAGCGAGTAGAACGGTAATCATTGAAACGAACACAGGAACACTCACAACGGCAATCGCAAGAACGATGTCATCATCATCCGATACGATATAGTAAGCTTAGCAAGCACCGCATCAAAAAAAGCTGCCAACAGCAAGCAAATAATAACACAAAGACTTTGGAGCTGTTGTGGATCGTTGACGAAGTCGGCGTAACATCATCGACCTCACATTGAAGTGTCGTTGTGTGCTTTATGCTCTTGCAGTCACGATGACGCCGCATAGCATTCAACCCCTGACCCTGAAAAGGACGACGATGATGACAATGATGGTTACGGTGATGGTGGTGATTACTCTGATGCTGACGATGCTGATCGCGCTCATGGTTAGGAGCCTGAGGATGCGGATGGTGATGATGGCCGGGAGGATGTGCCCATCATTATTTCCGATACGAGGAGAGTTAGCTGTGGTTGCCGTTTGCTGTTTGTCTCAAAACCATTGCAACTTCTACTGCACTGCTATTGCTTTTGCTACGACTACGACTACTTCTACCACGGGTTGGGTTGTTCCGGGTTCGGGGATTAGAGTTTCATTGTCCTTCCTCTCGATCCATGAAGCTGAGATTGCCAACGAAAATGCTCTGAGCAGTCCCCTTCTGGGCCGGCGGCGGAATCGAGCCCTCAGAAGACCCCACCGCCGCCGCCGGAGGGGACGGGGTGGGGCCAAGAGCCCTTTTCGAGCCGATAACAGGAGGTCAAATGCCAAATGCTCGCACCACCATCGGCAAATGAAGCAAAACCCATATCTGCCGCTATCTGAAGCAGGCGAGCTCGTCAGCAAAGTTGCCGGTGGTTCACGCAGATATGACATGTGTCTAACTCGGTCTAACTAGGTACTTAGGTTCCAGCCGGGACAACTCCAGGGAGAAATTTCAACACAGTCCCGGGACATGACATGACGACGCGATTCCGCTCGTCACATGCTCGTGGACTGTCTGCTGGGGCTCACTGGGGCACCTGCAGGTCCACGCCAGGATGTGGGAAAGGTCCTGATGCACAGATGCTGTTTTTTGCGATCGACTGGTACGAAAGTTGCGCAATGCCACGTCGTGCGCCTCAAAGCGTGTGAGGGTCCGCGCCAACGAGTGCAAGGGCCTCAAGCAGACAGCTGAATCGTTGAAGTTGCTTTTTGGTTTGCTTCGAGTCTACGCTGCACTCCCTGCCCAGCTCAAGGTAAGGTCAGAGCGTCCCCTCTGCGGCCTCGGAACGACAATGCCGGGAGACATGCAGCCTTTCAAAACCTGAAGGCTCGTTTGATGTGTTCTGGCGGCAAAACAAAAGGCGAATGCTGTCATTTCTGAGAACCACAACAGCAGAAGTGGCTGTAAGCAGCAGTCGAAAAGTCTGTTGAAGACGACGATGCGGCAGCAGCTGCGTAATGGAGGCAGAAAGCCAACACAGCAGTGTGTATGCACCCATAAACAGATCGCTGCCACAGCAACTGAAGGCTCTCCTAGCCTACCTGCCACCCTTACCATGTGCGCCAGATCGTCCAATGACTCCAAGAGTGCATGTAGTTATATGTGCATGTATGCACCTGTCCATACATATCTGTACCGTGTACTTATGTCTATATATATATATATATGTATGCACACAAGGAGGACAATCAACTAAAGCAACATAATGGGCGTGTGCAGTATGCAGATAAGTATGCAAGTGAACACCGATGAACAAAAGCACATGTACTAGATAGCCTGCTAGGTAGATAGGTAGTTACATTGATAAGCAGACAGAGAGATAGAGTAGATGAGGGTCCAGCTGCGTAGATACACATACATAGCCCTGCCAACATCTCAATCCGGGAGCTTCATGGAAGAGGTGTGTAACGGTTGGGTCCAGGATGAGGGCTTCCCAAGCTTCTGTCCCACTCGCAAAGGCTTCAAAGCAGAACCTCAAACTCTCCAATGCTTCGGAAAGAGCATAAAGGAGGTTCAGCAAGTAGAGGATGGGGCGGCCGGGACCTCCAAGCAAGGCATGGTCTGTGGGGCTCAAAGCCTGTGGGTGCTGTTCTGTCTTGGATCTTGGAGCTGGAGGGGGCAGAACGCAGAGTCCAGGAGTTTGGATCTAACAATACACGTGGAGGCTGGGGTGGCTGTCTCATGCTCAGTCGCACTTCTTGGCTCATCACTTTTTGCAACGACTAGCAGCTAGCAAACTCTGTATCTGCTCAAAACAACGAATCCGAATGCATGACCGAAACCGAGGACTCCCCAACGCCGCCTGACTTCTACAGGAAGCTTGGAGCTTAAGCGGTCTTTGTCTTGATGCAAGACTGCAGGTTGAACATCGTGCGAATCTTCGTATTCGGGCCGGCAAGCAGTCTGGCAACGACGCAATAAGTTGAGATCGTTGGACACCGTTGCTTTCATGTTGAGAGCCCCATTGCGTCTCCGTAGACTCTGACATCCAACCTCCAGGCCCCACAAGAATGCCCTGATCGAGGCCCGCACAGTGGAGTGCCACAGTCGCCTGCCAACCACGTGTCCTGCAGTATTCTATGCTCGTTTGCTGGAACCTGTACCACGGAAGTAACCGATGTTGGCTGGTAGCCTTCCGTGCACTGGAAGATCGTGGAATAACATGGGTGAAGGCTGTACTGCACAGCTTCAGTCAGAGCAGAGCGTATAAGCAGGCTCCCAACGTAGCATCAGACCACTACAGGATGGTTTTTCCAGATGTCGCAATGTTTCGTCTTCGGCCGGAGGCCGAAGACTGGTCGAGCTCGATGATTGTCTCCGGACACACCTCCATGCTTGCGGCAAGAATGCCACACTCCAGTCATGAAATGCTGAGACGAATACGTGTCAACATGTCGAAGCGTCAACAAGTCAGCTCGGCAGGATTATCGGCAAAAGCACCTGAGAACTTAACAAGCCAAACTGTTCACAAACCGCATGGGAGAACACTCCGGTGTCGTTCTTCAAGTGATTATGTAAACGAAACCAGCCAAACCTGCCACAGGGTCGCGAACCTCATGCATGTGTCAGCGGGGGCCTCTTGCAGGCTCGGCCACCAAGTTTAAGCAATGCGACCTCGGAGTGGTCGAACGAGCCTCGAATTGAAACCCCAGGCGTGTCGGAAAACGAACCACGCACGGGCTCCGGTCTCACCGGACTCCGACTTCGGCTCGGGCGGCGGCCGAAAACGTTGAAACGCTCTGCCTGGCAGGGTTGGGGCTGAGGGCTTAGGGTTTAGGTTTTAGGGTTTGGGGTTAAGGGTTAAGGTTTTAGGGCTTTAGGGTTAGAGGTTGAGGGATAAGGGTTAAGGGTTTAGGGTTTAGGGGCTGAGGGGTTTTGGCCGATTGTGACTACAGCAGGGGCCTCAACAATTAGAATAGGGTTTCGGTATCAATAGTCAAGGAACCCTAAAAACTAGTATTGGCAATTATTGATGCTTCTATAGTAACCCCTCCCCTCAACATCAAACCCTCTAATATCTGCGGGCCATAATACTTTGAAAAGGGGGCTTTGCAGGGATGTTATACTGTAAGCTTGAATGAGGAAACCTAGGTTTCTTCAGGAGGTGCAGCATTCTTGCTGTTGATGATATAAATCCTGCACTACCTTAAGGACCCCAAACTATGGGAATTGTGGTGTATAACCGTTTTCATGTGTTATAATGCAGGATTTTATACTATCCACCGTAGGACCCCGAGCCTGAGGAGGGGGTGGCAAGGCCAGCAGGGTCTCCGCAGGCTGCGGCGGTGGAGTTCCCGTAGAGAAAGGCCCCAGCTGTGGTGGAGGCCGCGGAGGTGGTGCAGGCCAACCTAGTTCATGGTTTGGGATAAAAATCATAAAAAAAAACACTAAACTTCTATATTTTTGATTGAGCTTAAGTATCCGTAAAAAAAACCATGTAAAATTGCTACCCAACTATGACAATGCCACTTGGAGGTGGCGGCGGAGGAGCTGCTTGCGCCCACGGCTGACTTGGAGGCGGTGGGGGTGCTTGGGCTGCCTTCGCCCAGGGCTCCCGGCTGGGACCGCGCTTCGGCTGGTACCAGGCGATGTACTCCTTCCTTGGTTGTAGTCTTGGGGCCCCTGCGAAGGACTTATGAATAAGTAGCTTTATAGGAACCATGATGAAATTTTCAAGTTTCCC